CGGAACCCTCCCGGGTGATTGGCAGGAACTCTCCCTCCCCGGTGTTTGGCAGGAAGTCCCCCCCACACCCTCTCCTTCTCAAGCAAGAGACTATGCTGCACTTTAAAGTGCTGCATGGCCCTGACTTTTGTTTCAGCAAGACCAGACTAACAGGGCTGCATGTGTCTTACTAGTCTCCTGCTCCAGGGCTGCAAGGCAGGCGGACTGAAGGTTACGGGTGAAATGGAGGCGCAGGCCAGCAGGCAGAAACTTTTTTTAATTGTATCCTTTGGTCCCACCGCCCAGGTAGCTCCTGCATGTCCTCATACCATCTTCCACCCACTCAGATTTACATTGCCATGTTACCTCTGACGTTGGCCCTACACAGGGAAATGTCAAACTCCCTCAGTAACTAGTCAGTGACTCAGGAATCAATAAAAAGCCCCCAGCACATGTAACTCTATTAACCTGTAACTAGTTGGGGAGGATATTCCAAGGAAGACAACGCTACATCACGAGCCTGTCATTGACATCCTCACGGAAAAGGCAGACACTGTAAACACCACAATTGTTTTTTAAAGGTTTTTAAAACTGAAGGGTTGCACCACTAACTTGTATGTATCGCTGTAGATTCATGGACTTAAATGGCTGGTGATTGGGTTCAAAGTCTTAAAACTTTATCTACCAGTTCATTTCTCTGCTCTTGTAGAGGGAAGTTGAAGACAGTGATTGCTATACGGTCTTTCCTTTTATTTATTTACTTTTTTATTGGCTACAGGAATGTAAATGTGATAGCTATGACCATGAACCACGTTTCCAAAGCATCTGGAGATAAGGCAGAAGAACTGGTAACTCTTCCCCTACATACCGGCTATGTGGATAGTACTATAGTGTATAGCACTGAAGTACTCTTCAAGTACAGAATATATTTACTTCATCTTTCTTCAAATACAGACTATATCTACTTCTACTTCCTATCATATCCCATGTCAATTATTTTAATCTTGAGATGTGTACATATTATTAAAACTAAATGATAGCTTTGGAGTCCTAGAACTTGAACAGAATAAAAAATGACAATATTATGGAGGGAGTATTAGGAAGACCACTAGGGGATGCCACTAAATGCATAGCATATCAGTTAGAAGTCATATTATTTGACACATGGAAGGATGAACTCTAACCAAAATCATTCAGTATTATGGACTGGAAAATTTCTTACCCTATAATTTCCTTTGTGCAAGCAGTGTCTCCCATAATTCTGCTAGATATGGACCTCTTTCAGGTTCCAGACAGTTCAAAGCTGTACCAAAGCTTGTGCTAGCCACACGCCCTTCTCCAGCCTGTCAGATGATTTATTCCAAAGCTGTGAAAAATGTGTATTAAATAATTAACAATTCCAAGGTTAACCATGTAACAATAAGTCCTTGATTATACAGTTACTATCCAAATAAGATGCTGACACTCAGCTGCAGCGCTATATAGCCTGGGTAGAATTGTGGGAGATGCTGCTAACAGAAAGGAAATGATTGAGTAAAAATGTTTCCACCGTTCTCCCACAGTTCTGCTACATATGGGAAGTAGCAAGCAGGTGACAGGAAAGGGAAGGGATAAGAGAACAAACAAAGAGAAAAAAAATCTTTCAGGAGTGCTCAGATGGCAAGGTTATTAGTGGACCATCACTTGCAGTATCCCCTGCCAACACATGTCTCTCAGGAAGACAGGAAAAAGACAGTTACCTATTCTGTAATGGGTTTTCCTTGAGATGTGTTGTTGGTTTTCCTTGAAATGTACAGTGGCTCCAAAGTGAGAGTACGGAGCTCAGACATCCTTCTAGCCGATGTAATCGCCATTAGGAAGGCCACTTTAAAGGAGAGCAACAAAGGGGACGTGTCGAGTGGCTCAAATGACAATCCTGTGAGCTGTGCCAAGGTTTAGATCCCACTGTGGAAGAGGCTCTTGGGTTTGTGGGAAGAGTCTTTGTAGACCCATCAGAAACTGGGATGTGACGTGTGTGTGGGGAAAAAAAAAGCAACCTTGAATGGGTGGACGAAACACGGAAATAGCAACTAAGTGAACTTGATTGAGGCTTACTAGACCTTGCTTCCGGTGGAGAAGATAGTCGTGAATTTGCTGAAGAGAAGGTTCAGATGGGATTATATGCTTCTGCGTCCCCGCCTCGCTCCAGCAGGCAGGGATAGAAGTTCTCTCTCTGTGGGACATTGCCACTGCTGGACCTGGCATATGTGGGACATGGAAGGAAGACCCTTCCCTGCCTCCCTCCTGCAGGCTCCTGGCCTGGCCAGCACTTCCCCATGTCTGTTTGTCTTCAGGATGTGGGGGCGTAGTGTGGCTCCCCTGAGACAACCATGCCCCTACAGGAACGTGCCCACTGTGTAGGCCACAGATGGCCTTGCTCAAAGTACATTGCCATCATCAAAACCGAGACCTTCAGTGTAGGCTCAGAGATTAGGGCTAAACTCCATCCCAGGAGACACTGTTCATGACTGCCCTTGTCACTATTCTTCACAGCTGGACCAGCTGCAAGCATGGTGCATCCACCACCTCCCACGCCATCAGCAAGAGCCACAGGCGAAGGCGAACATGCAAGGACCTAGTGTGAGAACATCTAGACTGCCTCCATTCCCTCAGCCAGAGCTTCGAGGAGGAGCACAAGGAGCACCTGGCTGATTGGGGTCTGAGGAGGAGGATGCAAGAGCAGCTGTCATGCCAGTGCGAGGCCATGTACTCCTCAATAACATCAGTTATGGAGCACATAGTTGCGTGTATGGAGTGATCCATCAACCAGCTCCCCGCACACATCCCATACCCAACTCCCTTCCCAACTTCCTGTCCTTACCCCCCC